GCCGAGGGGAGGAGGTGAAGGGAGGCAATGTCATTTTGGAGACAGGGAGAGATGGCAGGATGGGAAGAAGCATGAGTGCTGCACCTTCAGTTGTTATTTCTGGACTCTGCTAAAATAACCTCTTTCTGCGAGCAGGCAAATACTGATATACCTGGCATTTGCCTGGAGTCCCTCCCAACCCCCTGTGTGAAAGGTGCACTGATAAACTAGAATTTTGATGCTCTAATAGCTGTGACTTGTCCTAAAAGGACACTGCTTTTCATTTAAAATAAGTTCCTTGTCACTGCAGGGGCATCTCTTCTGTGTATAATCCGTGGCTTTTTCCTTCCTTAAGGCCATGTTGTATCACAGTTTGAAACAAAAATTGGCTACTGCTTTTGTTTCTCATTATTTAAACTGAGATATGTCTCAAACACTATATCTCGGATACTGAAAAGTACATCAGCCAGTCGCTTTTCTTTGTAATGCAAAGACATGAGTTAAACCCCCTCCCAATTTAATCCTGTGTTTCTCTCATCTAAAGCCATGCAGTACATGAATGGAAAGGCAGTTACTCACCAATCCCTTGCTGTCTTCTACATAAACAAAGTCATAAGGATAAGCAAATGCCTTCCTTCTAATTAGCAGTGTGTTTTGTGGTTCCATACATTCCAAAATGTAATAGACAGCTACAGTGCCTAAAATAATCCCAGTGAAAAAACTCGTATGCCACGAAGATAGGGGTGGGAGGGAGAGGAGGCAGGAAAATCTGTTGTCTCTGTTCTTGGAAGCCTTTTCTATCTCCATTTGGATACTGTCAGCTTCTTTTACACAAACATTACAGCATCCGAGGGGAATTAGAAATACTTACCCATGACCACAACATCAGACCTTAGGTTTGTCAGGAGAAAGCAATGCAAAAGCAGGATCTTGGACCCGCTGCTTTCATTTTGGTTTTAGCACGCTGATAAATGCCTCCTAATGCTGGAAAGAGGTAAGGCTGGCTGTCTAGGTGGAATACAGGAAATTTAAAAATCTTACCTCATAGACGTGAAATGTTTTTTGGGTCTGTGAAAGTGCTGTGTAAGTCCTAAGTAATAGTTATTGTCTCTTGTGATGGCTCTGAAGTTACACAACAGCTTCCCTTTTATACCAGTCTTTTATGAAATGGCTGGGGACCACTCAGGACGGAGAGGGAGAACTGAGATGCTACTGGTCAGATGGCTTTTCACTGGGATAAAAGGTTCAATTTGACCAATATTCGCTTCAAGATTTTTTTGTAAAGGCACCTTATCCCAACATCTGTGGGAACAGGAAAGGCAACACTTTTCACTAGTAAGTTTTCGTAGGTTCCTGCCCCAACCTTTGTTGTACCCAGTGTGTGCCCACACTGTAACCTGCACAGGGCTGAGCAAGCTGGAAGCCCGTGAGCTCAGGAGCCCCCCTGGCCGTGCCACTCTACTCGCATTGCAGGCGGTCGGCAGTGTAGATGCAGCCTGTTCATATCCAACACATCCACGGGGCTGAGGTGGCTCCAGGGCTTGACCAGTTTTCAGCCCCTTTCACGTGGGAGTGTGTATTGCAACTCTTGTGCTTCCATCTAACCTTTTCCCAAATCCAGGCAGACCAAAATGCGGTTTATATACCTAAAGGCCAGACAGCTATAGGGCAGGAACAACAGTGTGTGTTTTTGTTCTGCCCCTCTCCTGTTGCCAAGTGGAATGTAACCCGTGTTGCCAAAGTCCATCAGCTAAAGTTGTGATTTTTGGGAAAGGAAAAGAAATGAGCTGTGTCATGCAGCTGCACAGTCTTCTTGAGGTGCGGGTCTGCTGCCTGGACGCAGACCAGCGCAGTCCTTCTGCCATGTGAAAGGACGTACTGGTTCCTAACACTTGTGCCTTGGCCCGGTATGTGGGTGAGAGAGACGCAGGAGAGAGCCAGTGCTTTGAAACCGATCTTGATGAACCAGAAACGAGGTGCCAGTATGTAATGGTGAAGATAATGAACTATTGGAACAACTTACTTAGGGGGGATGTGCCTGAACCCTTGTGATCTGAAATCTTTGAGTCTGGATTGAATGCCTTTCAAAAAGAAGGTGCTTTGGATGAACTGCTAGTCCTTGGGCTTTGCACAGGAGCACAGAACGTCCTGGCCTGTGCTGGCCATGAGGTCAGACCAGCTCAAGGGTGGACAGTGTCTATATGCTGCTCCTCTTCTGATGTTCTGCTTCAGCTCTCTGGGCTAACACGGTGGGTTGGTTTTGCAATCCCACACCTCACAGAAGGGTCCTGGTGTGGCTCAGTGACTTCTCCCTGACTCACAGAATCCTCAGGTACAGAAGACCTTTAGGATCATCAAGCCCAGCCATTAACCTAACACTGCTAATACCACCACTGGCCGTGTCCTTCAGCACCTCGTCCACGTGTCTGTTAAATCCCTCCAGGTACGGTGACTCCACCACTTCCCTGGGCAACCCCTTCCAATGGCCGACAGACCTTTCTGGGAAGACATTTTTCCTAATATCCCGTCCAAACCTCCCCTGGCACAACTTGAGGCCATTTCCTCTTGCCCTGTTGCCTGTCCCTTGGGAGAAGAGACCAACTCCCACCTCTCTGCACCCTCCTTTCAGGGAGCTGTAGAGAGCGGTAAGGTCTCCCACACCAGTGCCCAGCGTAGAGCCGGCGTGCTGAGCAGCCAGCTTCCCCGCAGTCGTGGGCTGCTCCCTTGTTGACCGTCTGAGAGTAAATGACCCTGGTGATACCTTCTGACCTCTGGCACTTTGGGAATCCCACAAAGAGAGGAAGACAAATGAGACATTTTCATCCTGTCCTCCCGAAGTGGTGGTCGGGAAAAAGGCCCAGTCCGTTTGTCAGGAGCCTTCCCATGTCTCTTGGCCAACGTTGGCAGAAGTCGCTCTCGTTAAAAAAGTGCTAGGAATGCAGCAGTGGCAACTCTGCTAACAGCGAGCAGCTGTTCTGGTGATGCCCTCCGGAGATGTGGCTCCTGCAATCTGAGCTGCTCCCTTTTTCCACACACCAGTAATTTCCCAAAATATTTATCATGGGTTTAATCTTTGCCCAAAACTGAATTTTCTTTTCTATGGTTGGAACAAAATTGCTCTGGATTTGGAAATACTGATTTTTTTTTTTCCCCCCCCACTCACCAGGTGAGGGTGTACACATGTAAATTGCTGCTATGTCTTTCCCTTTGGTTTGAGACAAAGATATTGTTAAAAATTTAAATCTAAAAGTCTTATTTAAACAGTATCTCTTACAGTGGGTGTAACATGCCCAAGTGAACGCAGTTACAAAGTATATACTCATGAACTTGAATATATTGTAAACTGGCAACTTCTAGCAATGTAAAAAGACCCTGCATTTGTGTATCTTAAATGTCACAAAGTGGGATTAAAGCTGAATTTTTAATTTTTCTCTTCCTACTTCTAAGTTTTTTGTTTAACGTGTGCCTGCTTTTGACGTGGCAGCAAGAGTTTGTGGCACAGAAACAGCAGTATGCTAACTACGAAAGTTGGAGTGACTCATGGCTGACTTGCGGACTTTCTTCCCCATGCTTTGCCGTGGGGAGGCCGTCACCGGACCAGCGTTAGCAGCAGCCCCTCCACACTCCTGGGCAGGGCAGGAAATGGCCGGAACCCTCTGTTCTCAAACGCGCACACAGCCGTTTCGATGGAAAACTTGCGCTGCTGCGATTTCCGTAGAGATCGGCCCAGATCCGTGATAGTACTTCTCAAGGACTTATATCTTCAATTTTCTTAGCTATTTTCTGCAACCCTCTAAGCAAAAATATCCATGCTCCATATTCAGAAAGGTCACTGTCCTCAACCGCAAATTTAATTAACAGCTTTCCCCTTCTGCTGATGTTTTCCCCCCCTCTTTAGTTAATTTTAACCCGGTGTGCCACGTTAGGAGCCTTCAGTTTCTGCTTGAGGGAGTAGCTGCTGACATGAGTGGCCCCAGGGAAGTGAAGCCCAGTAAGCGATCGCCAGTGGGAGCCAGGGTTATACACAGCATTACACCGTGGAAAGCTTCCGATCTCCTGTTGCAGACAAAATGTCTACAAAAACAATACTACTGCTTTCCTGAATTCCTGTGTTTTGCAGATGTGAAGCTCAATTTCTACAGGGGAAGCCAGGCTGTTTTGGGGGAGCTCATAGTGCTCTGTCTTTTTGCTGCTGCTGCTAATTTTTGTGAGCACCATAGAATACAGTAGAAAATTGAAACTGTGTGAAAGATCAACAAATCAGTGTAGAATGTCACGCAGCACCATCTGTTAACTTTGGCTCTATCTCATATCCTCCTGACCCCTCCTTTCCAGCCACAAGTCTCCTGTTTTGTGAGAGCTCAGAGTGATAGGGACTTGGAGGAGTGGGGGAAGAAAAGGCTAGGTGTTTCTCAGTGGTCTGAAGGGCTTACAAAAGTACCATCTGGAATTAAAGTTTTATGTTTGTGTGTTTCTATATTTTTAGTTAGAAATGAATGGGAATTTGTTGACTGAATTAATTGTATTGTGCTGTAAAGGTCTATCATAAGAGCCATTCTGTATGGGAGCTTACAATGCCTGCAGAGAGAAATTAAAGTGGCTTCCAGGAAACCATTGATTACAGACTCAAATAGGGTTGCTCAGAGACATTTGTTTGATATTACTTCTGATAAACAAAGTTTTTACCTAATAATAATTTTACTACTGACACTGAAAGCAGCTGCGCTCTCTAACAGTAAGCCTGCCTTCAGTAAAACTTTCCCTTTTCCTCCTACCTTGTCCAAACAGCTACAGCTAATGAAACGGTGTTTCCAAACTGTAGATCCCAGTAAAAAATTTAAATCATGAAGAAATGAGTGATATACTAGACAGTATGTTCCTAATGGGATGGTATTTGTCTGCATTGTATTAGTGGTATAAGCTTGTTCTTGCATTGCATTAAAAAAAAAAAAGTCAAATGAAAGACTTGACCCATCATGTAGAAAATTCTTACCTTTTTTTTTTTTTTTTCCTCCTAACAGGGTCAGCATATTTCACTAGCTCCCATTCAAAAGCTGGAGGAAACTTTGTATGAGTATCAGCCTCTGCAAGTGGAGACATATGGACCACAAGTTCCAGAGTTTGAAATGCTGGGAAGGCTGGGGTAAGTAATGCAGCAAGTCTTAATTCCCATTTCATGGCATTACAGCTGGGACTGTTACCATCTTCACTTTGCCAGCAGAAGAGTAGAGGGTTTTTTCCTTGCCAGCATGTAGGGTTTTTTTTTCTTTTTTTAAGGATCTTAACGAAATATTAGACTTCCTGCCCAACCAACATTTTGTTTGGGTGGATAAGCTGAAAGTTTTAGTTCTCCAGCCTTTATAGATCTATTGAGAGCTGGACTGGATTGCATTAGTGTTTTTAAGGTTGTCCTTGGCAGTCGTAGTGAAGTAGCTGTTCATTTTCAGTTGCACGGTATTAAAAAATAAATAAATAAAAATCTGGGGCTTAATTTACCCAGCTGTAAGCCAGTAAAAATATTAAAGTTGGGCTGTTTGCCATGGAAAAGGGTAGATTTACTTGTCGACCGCTGTCTACAGTCAAACTGCGTTTGTGAGAAATGAAGCACAGAGCTTAACTTTGTCAGAAAATATAATGCAGGGCTGGTCCAGCAGCTTGACGGCAGCGTGGTGTGCAGCCATGTTTGGGAGTTGGGGAGCCTGCTGTGCCGAGGTAATGGAGGCTGGGAAGGCCCAAAGTGACGCGTCTGCTCTCTAGAGAAGTGTTTGTGGCTGAAATGATACCTGAAAACACCTAGTTGCTGGGATAGTGGGTGTCATTCAGCTCATCATGTCCTAACTATCATGGTTAGTGCCTGGAAAACTACGTGGCAGCATGGACGTGCAGACTGGCAAGGCAAGAAAGAGTTAAAAAAGAACAGTTTACGTTTGACTGTGCAATGTGGGGAAACTAAAGCTGCAGAGTACTGAGCAGAGTTGAGACAATTTAGTATGCAGTTCTAGAGACCACTGAAATCCAAACAGGAATCCTATCCAGTTCACTGGCACAGGAGAAATTGTCTTCCGAAAAATGACAGAGGTAAACAGACTTTTAAAAGTAAATAAGCAACGTAACGGTGCTTCAGGAAATTCATGGCTGTCTCCATTTTTATTGTTTCTGTGTCCTCCTGATGCCTGTAATTTTTATCATCTGATATCAAGCTTCTGAGACCAAATATTCATTAGCAGTTTAAGCTTGGGCAGAGCCAGATTGAGCCTTCAGCACCTGCTCGGATGGAGCACAGCTGTGAGGGACCTCCACTGCGAGGGGAGCTTTGGGGCCCCCAGCCCTAAGCCTCGTCGCGAGTGAGAGTGTTGGCGGGGCGGGAAGTGGCTTGTGCAGGGAGGATTCCTAGTTGCTGCCCTTTGCCTGCTCCCCGTGAGGTGAGTGCCGGTGTCCGGATCCGGCAGGAACCCTGTGCGATCTGTGTCCGTCCTGTCTTAACTGCCTGCGACACCGGCTCGAAGGCAACCCAGCACCTTGCAAAACGAAGCTGCTTGCACCTCGCAGTGTCTGTGCGTGAGCGTGTTTTGGAGCAGGGCTTGTAAACAGCACTCACAGTCTTCTGGAGACATTTGGACACGTGTGTCCTTCTGCTCCTCCAAGAATGAACAGCCGAGGTTGTTCGGCTTGGCTCTGGGGGTGATGGAGGAGTTAAGAGGGGCAGGGTGTTGGGTGGCTGCGGTAGCAAAGGGGGAGGGTGTGGGTGGGTCCTGGTGCCCACCAGAAGAGTTCTTCTGAGTCCTGAGGCTGTTTGCAGTTCCAAACCAAATACATCGATGCTGTGGGTTCCCAGCCGGTACAACTCTAACCCGATTCCATGGGGTGTCTGAAATACCTTAAACCATGCAAGGCTATCCATTTAGGTATTTGTGTTTCTGTGTTTATATGAACTCGGGCGCATTTCCTGCTGCTGCTGAGTGCTTAACCGGTGTGCCGCTGGGTCTCTCGGGCAGCTGCGTACAGCTGCTGCGTGAGGCAGGAACGCTGGGCACAGTTATGCGCCCCTGCTGAAGGCTTTTAGTTGCCTCTTCATTTGGACAGAGAGAGGTTAAACTTAAATTTATTTAATTTTTTTTGGTTCTCCCTCTCATGTTCTGGTTAATAATTTTTGCAGCCTGGCTATTTATTGCTACTGAAGAGTTCTCTCAAATATGCAGGCTGTTATCTCAGTTTCTGGAGCTGGAATTCCTGCAAAGCCACTGCCAACCTGGAGACTTTGAATTTACTTCTGGTAACATAATTTATTGACACCTTTTTTAAAGGTACAGTTTATATACTTTCTAGTTGAAAACACTCAGTAGAATGGGCTTTCTGAATATTCACGTCTTAACCTCTTACCTTAAGCAAGACTCACTTCACACTTTAGCATCTGTGTTGCTTTTCTTTCTTACTAGCAAAGAGCAAGAAAAAGGGCGAATCCTTAAGAGATAGTTTAGAACATTTGTAAGGGATCTTTTATAATGAAAAAAAATTGCTTTTTGAGATGACTTGTGTTACTTGCTCATTAGTCTTTACAAACAACTTTACATGCAGTCCAGTAAACTTGATTCTGCATCCTCCACTGTTCTTCGTATGGATTTTGCATGTTTTGTGAGGGGGGAAAAAAAAAAAGGAAATTTAAGTTCAAACTGTTTTTTAGAAACTTGTTTTCAGTTTCTCTTGGGGCGGTAAATTCTGTTTTTTGTGTACTGCAGAAAAGTATTAACATCCGTACGATACTTTTTTGCTATTGTGTTGGAAGTCTGAGAATAATGCAGAAATGGATTTATTTTTTTTTTCCAGCACAAATGATTTGGTATACTATGTAGGGCTGTGTGTCCTTCTGGCTTCCGATCCACCTCACCCCCCCAATTTTTTTTACTGGAGGAAAATTATCTGGAAGTAATGAAATATAGGGAATAATCCTGAATTCCATGGCTTCCTGGGAGCAGTATGTGTTTCACTAACTCGAGACAGTGTTTAAGCTTCTGGCAGAGGGAATGAAGCTTTCTCAGAGGCAGACCCTGGCAGAGGTTCCCTTGACTGCACATCTGGGGGGTTCCCACAGAGAAATCTCAGTAGCCGATGGCCCCACGAACACACGCTGAAGGTGCCGGGCTGGTGCTGGGCTGATATGGGTGGCCAAGGTCACTCTGGGTGTTCAGCCTGCCAGGCCAGCTCGTGTCTGACTTTCACGTGGAAATGTGACTTGGAAGGAAGAAGGGGAGAAGACACATGTGTGAGAGCGTTTCCCAAACCTGTGGTGCTGGAGAAACCTTGGAGAAACCTTGGAGAAAAGAACCTTGGAGAAAAGCGGGGTCTTGGATCACTAACATACCCGTCCTGGAGGCGGGCACTGCAGCTGCCTGTCCCTCCGTGATGACAAATTGTGCTGGGTCTGTGCGACTTGGTCACTTCTCCGAGTTACTCGAGTGTTCAGGGATGTCCGTTGGGAAATGATGGGTTGCTGGGTGGAGTTGAAGGCAACCAGCTGATGGGAGTTGCGTTTGAAGAGCCCTGTCTTATCAAAGGCCCTACTAGCACTCCTGTGGCCACCAGGAACGATTAGGCTGGTGTAGTTTGAGTCAAGTGGGAGTGTCTTTTGCTTCACATCAGCCCAAATCTACCGAGCAGCCAAAGTCGTGCAAGACTGCGCGACCTCCCGTGGCTTCTGGGGAGAGGAGGTGTGTGGTTGGGAGAGCGAGCACGGGCGCCTGGATGCTCGGACGCTCGCTGCCATTACTTGACTTTGAGGTTTTCTTAGAGGGGTGAAGAAGGCCTGTGTTTCTTTTATTTTTATTTTTTCTTCTAATGTTTTAGCTGAGCATGCTGAATTTGTGTGGTTGGAGGTCTGGATTTTTCTTACTGCAAAACAAAAGAAATGAAGACTGTAACAAACTCTGACATGCCAAGTAGTGAAAGACCAAAACAGGATGGGGATTGAAATTAGTTTGTTGTTTTAAAAATGTATGTTTGTTATGTAGTTTTGTTTAAAAAACAAAACCAAACCCCTAAGGATCAAAATCATGTTTGTTTGGGGTCCTGAAAAACGTAAAGACATTCTTGGCATTAAAGTATGTACGGCTAGCAGGAGCGGCCACACAGCGTTCTCTCACCGAGTATTTACAGCTGTGGAAGAGCCTACTTATAAACTAGAGCCTACGCAGCCTACTTATAAACTAGCTATAAATCAAAAATCTGCCTATGTGATTAACGTTTTGGGCAAAGATGTGTGGACTTCAGGTCTCAAAATTTAGAAACAGTCCCTTGAATTCCAAAGCGGATCGTACTCGTAACAATGTGCCAGTCTTTTTCTCACTATTCTCAGAAAACAGAGCTAATTTACAAGTAAGATTAAAAATTAATGTTTGCACTCCACTTAAAATTTCTCAGCCTTAACAGAGAACTCTTTTGCAGACATAATCAAGTCAAGCCTTAAAATAAAATTGTGTTTGCCTACTTAACTTTGTCTGGAGAGGTGCATCCTGAGTATGTACATGGGTATAGAAAAACTCAAGTTCGTTCCAAAAATCTTTGCCTCTCTTTAGGGAAAAATGTGACTTCCCTTTGATCTATCAACTTGTTTTCATGTGTAACCACATTGTTAGGAGCACTCCAGTTAGTGGTTTGTCTAAGTATGATGCAAAAATGAAGTTCAGCAGTGAACACTAATGAGGATAGGTAACATACTTTGATAATTTGAAAGTTAAATCTAAGCAAAATGTCATTTTAAGGGTCGAGGCTAAGTTCTGAAGCAAAGTCAGAGTGCTGGGGAAGTCTGTACATACAGCAACGTGTTTTAGCTCACTGATTTTTATAAGGAACAACAGTATTGATTTGTTCCTTTTTTTTTCCTAGTGTCCTTCCTCAGTCATTTTAAATCTTGAATTAAGATGAGGAGGTTGGATTTCATGTGTTTGAGCTTTGTTAGCATTTAATTTTTAACCTTCATTTCAAGTGGAAAATTTCTGCATATTTCTTTGTTGTACAGTGTTGTAGTGTAATTTGAAACACATGTAGAGTTCTGGCACTTAATCTAGAAATGACTCGTGTAACTTCTTTGCTGTCAATCTAGTGTGGTTGGATTTTTTTTTTTTTTTTAAAGTGAGGCAATAGTAAGGATGCT